TCCCAAAAAGTCAATTTTCTGCTTGAACTGGAAAAATATGGAAGTTATCCGAGACAACGGTAGCAAATGGTACGTTTCTAAAGAGGACTATCCAAGCGACCAGTACTTGTCCTACTGTTCAGGAAGCGCATACTTGCTTACAGCCGATGCCTTGTTCCCCATGTATAAAGCGTCGCGCAGGGTGAGGTTCTTTTGGGTCGACGACGTGTACGTGACAGGCCTACTGCGAACGTACAGTGGCGTGGAAGTGAAGAGTATCGCATCGATGTACACACTTTCGTGTTCGGAACTGATGGTGGACCTGTTTCGCAAATTTACGCTGTTTTGTCATCTTCCTGCGAACATGAATCAATTTTATGAGTTGTGGAACTCTCTGATCAAACTCTACAACCTACCTCAGATCAATTCCTGACTGTCATCTTGACGTGGACCTCAAACCATATAGCGAGTAGTCTTGTTCACGGAAACGAGTACTTTGTGCTTGTCGAGTAGGGGCAAGCATCAGTTCAGTGCGAAATAGTGAAACAAGCCTCAGTGCCTCAAAGACCTGGACAGTTCATTACCGAAAAGTTATGACCAAGGCTGGCCGTTCTCACCAGATCGGTGAACTTTTAGCTAAATGTTTTGGAACATTTCGATACCGCTTTGCTACCCTGTCTGGTAGCAGTTCTGATAATTCCGTTGCAAATCTCGTTTTGTTGACTGTTGAACATTCTGTTTTGTGCAATTATAACTGCCTCTATGGATTTAGTTGTATAACTAGCAAACATGCATTAGTTAAATATGCGTAAAGTGTTATGGAAAGTTGATTTAAATGAATATGGAGAAAAATTGTAACTTTAATGCAGAAGAGCAAAACCTCAAATGATTCCCGTTATCATTATTTTCAAACAGCACGGATAAAACTTTACTATCACTGATTGACTGCGCCAGAGGAAGTCGAGCAATTAAAGCACCTGGCCTCATTATGTCTACCAGGACACCATCGATTCAAAGTTAAATATGAGGGCCATCCAAGCTTCGAGTGCTTTAGAAAACCTTTAGAACCTTTGGATTGAGAAAGGGATGCCTCTTTCAACAACGGTCTACGCACTCGTTGCCTCATTCAGGTCAGTGTTGTTGTGCGGCATGGATACGGTTGTTATGACTAGTAAACAATAACGACGGTTGACTTCCATGCACAACGAGGGCCAAACGGTACAGCCACATAAAGAATGACTCCGTTCTCTTCCAGGCACAGGTGACCTCAACTGACAAGCACATTACGAAAAGAACGTAGGCTCTGTTAGACAAATTGGTTAAGCATTCGTCGTTTACTACAGCCGATGAACCTCTCCTGCGAAAGTTGAATGTCGGCCGGAAGGCCAGCATGCAAGCGACAGTGTAGAAGCAAATTGGCTCTCAGAGAAGTATTGTTCTTCGTACGATGACGTCAGCGATCTGACCTCGCACACATTTGCGACATCACTGACGGACTGATGTCGAACCAAGTCAGAGATCCGTC